TTTTTTTTTTTTTTTTTTTTTTTTTTTTTTTTTGAGTATATCTGCTGGACAACAATTATCCCTTAACTCATTCCTTCTATTTCTTTCTTGTCTTCCTTGCTTTGCTAATGATATTCGATAGTTATAGGTTTAGAAAGCCGTTCCTTTTTCTCCGATTTCTTTTCCGTTTGCGAAGGAAAAAAAGAGAAAAAATACTGAAACAACAGCAACACGCCTTTTTTTTTTACAACTTCTCTCAATTCTTTAAATTCCAATTATATTTATGGTTGTTACATTGAATAAAAGTTCAAACATCGTTAATCATTGTCAAATTGGTCATTATCATTATTACCACCGCCGCCGCCGCTTCTACCACCGCTGTAGCATTAAAGGCAGACGAAAAACACATTTCCAGTTTTTCCCTTAACAATTTCCCGGTTGTTTCCATTCCGGTCATTCCTTCCTCCCTATGTGATGAACCGGAAACTTTCAATTAAAATTAACCAATGAGAACTTTTTTCTTTAGAGATAGACAACAGACGGAAGGAAGAAATACTTCTAAGTAAAAAATAGCTTAAATTTTCTTCGAAGAATTAGTAGAACTGAAAGATAATTGAATCCATTTCATCGGAAACTGTTGATACCACTATAAACGGCATAGGGAAGCTATTTCTTTACTTCTCATATCAAAAATATCAAGAACAGTAAGAGTAATAGTTATGACAATGCTAACATTAATTACTATTACTACTACTAATACTACTACTACTAGTGATAATAATAACAATAACAATAATAACAAAAATAATAATTGTAACAGTTTTATTAAGAGTTGTAGTAACAGTAACAGTAATAGCAATAGTAAAAGTTATAATCTAATATCAGAGCATGAACAATAATGTCAGAAGTTATGGTAGTAAAATTACTAGTTATAATAACTTTACCAAAAAATTTATTTTTTTGTCTGCTTTCATTGCTGATAAGTATACTTTAACAGCAGAAAAAGCAAAAAAAAAAATTAAAAAAAAAAAATATATATATATAACAGAGTGACTTAAGTATTATTTCAAAGAGTACCACAGACCGATTTCATAGAACATTCAAACCCTTTCTCGTCTTCAACGTTACTTATTGCTTACAAAGGAAAAATTCTATTTATAGCACTACTTTTTTTTTTCACTTCTTTGTCAAGATTTGACTCTCTAAGAAAGACGTGGTTTTGTAATACATTCCTGTGGTAACGTGACAGACTTCTTAAAATGCAAAATTGAGCACAGCAGAAAGTAATAGGAAAGTAGAGCTATCATAACTTTTAAACGACATTGAGCTGTTGTTGATTGCGAGAAAAGAGGCTGTCGGGACAGAC